TGCATCAGAAACTTTATTCTTCTTGTTCTTTCTCATTTATATTGTACATTTTTGTGCTTTTCTACATGTCTGTTTGGCAGCCCCTAATTATCCTAAAAAAGTACATTTTTTGTTTTCATCTAATAATCATTTACAGTTATTAGCAGCTGTGGTAAATATGTTAAAAAAACTTAAATTATATATGTTCTGTTACAGCAGGATAACCTCACACTGAAACTTGAGAAAAAAATAAACTTTTATCATCAGTGAATTTATTCTGTGGGCGGGGGATAAAATTTTAGACAGTAATCGTTATTATGAAATCATCTGGGCCACAATTACCAAGTTTTTACACATGAAGTTTGTCCCAAGACTTTTATGGAACTGCAGATGTCCATGAATTGGCAGCACAGTTCAGAAAAAGAAACCATTCATTTATATTTTTCTTATTTGATGTTTTATTTTAGGATTAGTTCAGTCTTTTGTGCTTTCTAAGCCTTTTGAATCAAAGCAGCTAAAGCTACTCTGTCCCTTCTCATTGTTACCTGCTCAGGTGTGGCTGTCTTTCCAGTGCCGATGGCCCAAACAGGTTCATACGCCAGCACCACTTTCCCCCAGTCTGTCACATTTTCTGCAATAAAACATCCCTTTAATCCATCCATTGCAAATGAAAGCTCAAAGCTGTAATTAACCCAATCTGTTCATAAACCGAGTAATCCGGACAGTAAACATACAAAGTCTGCAAAGAACCGTTTGCACACAAACAGAAAGTAAAGTTCACATAGAAACGTGTCCTTGTAGCAGTGGGAAGCTGCAGGCACGGCTATGTCTCCTAAACTTTCTGCAGCAGCAGAGTCCACTGACCTATTTACATTTTAAAACAGTGAGCAACCTAGATTCAGTACAGGAGGAGAATGCATGAGGCCAACATGTGACCAGAGAAAAGATCATTAATCAGGTTACGTAAAGTAGAGTAAAATACAAAAAAACCTGGTGTACAGGTTTTAACCAGTTGTCCCAATCCATTCCAACTCTATTTGTTGATCACTTTTCATATAATAATATACCTATTTAAATGCAATATTTAATCATCATTGGCCTAGTATAGCAACTTTTATAGTAATTTTTTAAGACAAAAAAAAAAAGCTAAAGGAAGATATAAAACTTAAACCAAAGAAAATAAAACAAGAATGGAAATGAAAAACAAACAAACAAAAACTGAGCTGGGAAGAAACATGATAAATTTGTTCACCTGCAATAATCTGTGTCTGAGCGTAGACGACTTCTTCTGTGGAACCTGCCTCTCGCTCCTCCAGCTTCTCACCGATACAGGCGATCACTCCGAGATCGCTCTCCAGCGCGTGAGCAACCTGCAGATTTCATAACTTATCCATGCTTTACCTGCCACATCTCATGTATTTGTAAGAAATTCCATTTTACTTCTGTACAATGAAAATATAGGCATTCTGATACAGAAGATATGACCTGATACCATTATCACAACAAAAATATTTTAATCCCAGATGGTTTTTTTACTAATTTACTAAGAGAAAAAAAAGATCTTCAAACATCTAAATCAACAAACAGTAATAATTATTTGCTCAATTACAGATTTCTTGCACTTTTGATTGTTTCATTTTATGCTTTTTCACAGCACGAAAAGAAGGAATGGGAAAAGTCTGAGGAAACAGAAAAGGCTTCTAATTAACTGAGGGAAATAAATTGAAAAGAATCACAAGAAAGGACTTTATCATTTTCTATGACATGTAACGACGTAGACAGACATAGTAGTCAGTCAGTAAAATAAACAGTCTGTATCAGGAATAAAGTCTAACCTTTTGGCCGATGAGCTCATCACTTTCCCCGAACACATGGCGCCTCTCTGAGTGTCCGAGGATCACCCAGTCTGCCCCGCAGTCCTTTATCATGGCTGGGCTGGACGGAGGCAGAGGGGGGTAAACATGGTGGGGAGTAGGCCACCTCTTAAAGAGCTGAACTACAACAGATTGTATTTATTTGAACAAAGTAAGATTTTACTACAGCGTTTGGAAATGTTGAAATCTGTTTTTCATTTTCTAAACAACATTTCCAATTAGGCCTCCAAATTAGATCTGAACATATGACACATGGGATGACTTTAGGGTTTTCCCAACCTTTCGTTGATAAAAAAAGAACCACTTATCTAAAACATAAAATCAATCAGAACCATGTTTCTTTTATATTTTATTATTTTGCCTCTCAGTGGCTGACACACCTGATCTCTCCTGTAAATGCTCCTTTAGCCACTTTGTAGCAGTTCTGGGCTGAGACCCCGATTCTGGGATCCAGAAGGGACCGAGCAAAGTCCAGATAGATAGGAGGAGCAGCACACACCACCTCTGAAAACAATACAGAAGATTTATCTGTTAGTTCAGTGTTGCTTTTTCTTCTCTGTAAGAGCAGTTTAAAAGTAATGTAATTTTATAAGAATCATAATAGCTGAAACTTGCTTGATAATATATAGAAACTAGGCATTATTATTTATTATTTTTGAATTATTCACACTCTTCCATTCTGGATTCTTTATGAGTTTACTCAGAATCTTTCGTATGTCGCTTTTTAACCCATTACTGGTAAACTCTAGGAAAAATAATAAAATACAAATTGAATGCACTTTGATAAAATAAAAACAACAGAAAGAACAAAAAACATAAAGAAACCCCCAAAAACAAACACAGAGCTTAGATTAGTAAGTAAACTTTAATTTATAGAGCATCTTACATTCACCCAAAATGTAGCTTGAAGAATTTAATATTGATCATTATCTGTGAAAGTAGATGCATACAGAGGATGGAAAATGTCTGGTGCAAATTTGAAATGGTGCATCTTCTAGTATTTGGGTGAAATAACTATCAAGGATAAACTGCATTTAAGGAGCTCATTAATTGTTTTTCATTACAGGTATGCTTTTAAAATTTTAATTCTAATAACTATCAAGCCTGGCAACAAGATCCCTGCAATCAAACCTTGATAAATGATTTTTTTATCATTCAAATATGATTTATGTTTTCTAAAAGCACAAAAAACAATAATAGATTTTATTCTGTGCTCAATTTTAACTCATGTCTGAAATAAATTGCAGGTTCTTTCATGTAGAAAACATTCTCAAGAGAAGTGCAAGTAACTGAGTAAATGTAACTGAGTATTAGAAAGTACTCAGTTACTTTCTAATACTTAAAGACGGAAACGTCAGAGGACTTTTTGCAAGTCATCCTGATCACATGACTCCACCTCGAGCTGCATCCCTATATTTGTTTAACACTTTTATTTAGAAAACACAGCTAATAACGGATAATTATATGGGAGCGTTACATCCACCCCTGCAGCCACTCATCAGTCAGGGTTACCGGTCTGATCGTCCAGGCTGGCGGTGTTCAGAGTGGTGATCAGCTGTTCCAGGCTCTCCTTATTTCCGTTCATCTTCCAGTTTCCCCCGACGAAGAACCTCCGTGCCATGGCCGGTTGACGGTCGCTGATACCCGGTGAGAGAGGAGATGGAGGCCCCGGCGTTCAGTTCAGGCTGGTGTGTAGTTCAGGAGCTGTTGGAAAAATCAGTAGCAAACATACTTGCGAAAATCCGTCTTCTTCTGAGCTGGGATTAAAAGACCGACGTGGAGTAAAGTTTTAAGGGTGGTTATAGCGCCTCCTGCTGTGCGAACAAAAAGCAGCCTTCAAAATGTTGCATATTTCAATTGCTGTTGTAAAATTGTCTACTGCACTAAGAATTTATTTCACACACACAAAAAATCAGAGACCATTAGGCCGAGTGCACAATTTTAGAATAATTATATACATTTGTCATCTGAATTTTTATGACTAATTCATACATTTTTTTTCAATTATCTATATTTTGAAAAGCAAGTGAACACATTAATTAATACATCATTGAAAGTTTTACTTGAAATGAAAATGAAGTCCTACTTTTTAATAAAAGAAAACACATTATAATGAGATAAGAAAATACAAACAATTCTATACACTTACATCTTTAAAAGCTTTATCATGAGGCATAGAAAAACCTTATACTGGTTGGTGACAGTAAATACAAGCAGCTTCCTTCACACAGCTGAGAACAACTGGTAAAATTGAGAAACTTCTTTTAATTCCACAAAAGGACATGAAAATGAGGCATGTGGGAATCAGACATACAACTGTAATGTTTTCATCCATTAATTTTCTATACCCTCCTTTGTACTTGAAGGGTTGCATTGAAGCTTGGTGCCTATCTCCAGCAGTCATTGGGCCATAAGAGGACAAACAGCGCACACACATGCAAGGGCAAGTTGGAGAAACCAATGAAGGGAAGTTGAGGAAGTTGAGGTAGTTGAGGAAGCTAAAGCACCCAGAGAGATCAATAAAAACGGAAGTTGTTGGGAATTTGGTTCCCAATGTTCCACATATAGTGAATTTTTAGAGTGCAAGTCTAAAAGTTGCTCTGTTAACTGATTCTCTCACACGAGTGGTGGATCTCTGTAGCTCCTCCAGAGTTACCAGGGAGATATTGGCTGCTTTTCTGATTAGTTTTCTTTTCCGTTCTCAGAAAATGAGCTTAACAGAACTGTGTGAGATATTCTAATTAGGCTTGTTCTTTTATAACATAACACTGATTTAAATTTCTTTCTGCAATGTTCCTTATTCTGCTGGCCTTCACTTAAACAGCCATCCTCAAACTGAGATTAAATTACATTCAGATGCACTCTGTTCACTGTGAAGGCGATGTAAGTCCTTGCACTTGATTTAATTTAGTTATTAAAGGAGGCTGATTAAAAATGCAGACCACAATTCCCAAGTTCTTCTGGTGAAAATTTTGAAAAACTCTGGTTTTCCATTTCTATTTCAGTTATGTGCTGCTATGTGTTGCCTTGACATAATGAAAATGCCAAACACATTCAAGAATCTGGTTCTGGTGTGGAAAAGGTTCACTGTTGGAAGGCGCTGCAGCTATGTTTGGGAACAGAGACAAAAACACACAAACTCCAACATAACGTTGATGCAGAACTATTTATTAGAAAGATTTTCAGGAAACATTTTTGCCTTTTTGTACATTAGAGTTGGACACTTTTACAATAACTGCAGAATGCAGCTGGGCTGAAGGGGATGAAATTAAGTTCATATGTTTTTACAGAATGTTTTTCTGATTAGACAGCCGCCCTGCAGCCCAGTCTACCAGCCTGCTTCCAGACTGAAACTTTCTTTTTTGAGGGTTCTTCACAAACACTTTGTGTAACTCCAGCCTGTGTTAAACTGTTCTTAGGAGGTGAGCAATGATGACTTTTTGCAATATATTTACACTTTTTGGTGTGTGTATAGTCTGACAAAAAAAAGTAAAGAAAAATAAAACATTGTACATCAACTTCAGCCTAACTGTTGTACTATCAGGCATACATTAATTTATACCTGATCTATGGACGTTCAGGGCTCTTTTACAGATTAATGATCTTGAGAAAAGAAAAATGTTATTCTATAAGTTTGTCTTCAGTGCTTATGCCTTTCATCTCCTTTTATTGACAAAAACCTCTATGTGTTTCTGATCCAGAGCTTTTTCTTCCTGCTCTGGGAACATTTAGATTAATTGTGCTATTTTTAAAAACGTGTTTTGTTATTTAAAATGACAACACTGAAGTTCTTCTGCACATTTAGCAGGATGCATCGCGCATTGTTTCCCTGGTGCCATTTACACAATGAGGCTCATTTGCAACCACTCACGTTTTGCATACATTATTAAGGAAGAAGAGAGGAAGATAGGGAGAGGAGGCCTTTTTTTATTCATGCATCCTGCATGTTTTTTTTTACATAATGTCTCCTCTTTTCTTCATTTCCTTCCTCCTCATTTCTGCTCCTCCTCTTTTCTTCCTGAGATGTTTTCCTCCCACTGAAATGCCTCAGTTCCACAGTTTGAGGAAGCTGTCCCAGGATCCTGTGCAGACACCCATTCCATCAGCTGGGACGCCGGTGCAGCTCACCCTGTTGTCATGGCCAGAAAGCACACCTGCAGGACAGGGGGTGAATTGCAAGTAAATAGATAATAAATAGAGTAATAATCTTCCACGTGTCTTCTTTGCGTATATTTGAGGTAACACATCCATAAAGCCATGATCATAGTACCACTAAAAGAGCTCTCACCGACTTTCTCGCCCTTCAGTGAGTCCCAGATGTGGCAGTTGAAGTCGTCATAGCCTGCAAAGATAAGGCGGCCGGAGTTGGAGAGGGCCAGGGATGTGACTCCGGCGTTCAGGGTGGTGTCCGTGTAATCCAACACCTCCTGGTCGGCGCGCAGGTCATACATCTTGCAGGAGCAATCATCAGAGCCTGTGATGATGGCATTTCCACTGGGGAAGAACTGACAGTGGAAGAAAAACATTTAAAGTGTTTGAGGAAAAGATGGCGAAGTTTAGTGTAATATGGAGCTGCGAAGAAAAATTGTGAAGGATTTTGTCACATTTAGGTGCTTTAGATTGGAGAATGATAACCAGAGGATAAACACAAAGCAACTTTTTAAACCAGCACAAAGTGAAAATCTAATTGCTATCTTAAACCCAGTGGTGCCTAAAGTGGGTCCTCACAGGTTAGCACCCTGCATGTTTTAGTTCTTTCCCTGGCTTAACACACCTGGATCCAATGATGGCTCAGCGGAAGGCCTAAGAAGAACATTGACATGCTAAAAAGGTCGTGACTACCTCCAGGGAGAGAACTAAAACATGCAGGAGGCCCTTTTTCTTTAGAAAAAGCGGTTTTGCACTAGGATTATAAGTTTTTTTTTTTTTTGGCTATGTCAAAATAGTGTATTTTGAAAAACTGCACTGGAAACACTTTTTTCACATCACACAAGTCATGTGATTGATAACCAAATGTTACTAATGGTGGAAATGATAAAAAAGATGACAGGAAGTAGCAGAAGGATGATGGCTTTTTATCACATGAACAAACACATGGATGTTTTTTTTGGGAGAAGTGAGACAGGCCTTCGTCAACTCACTGAAATCATTAAAAATGATTTCATAACACTTTCAAAACTGATTTGTTTTTTCCTGAATTTGTTTAAGTCTGGTGACTATAGGTAGTTTTTTTGTGATCTTTAAACAAACTTCACATTGGCCTACAGACTCTATTAAATTTCATGATTCTTGTAAAACAAACCACCAAACAATCCTCACAGCAATGGCGTTGATGTCACTGGTGTGTCCAGAGAAGGTCTGCTTGCAGGATCCTTCCCTCACGTCCCACAGCTTGGCCAGAGAGTCGCAGGCTCCTGAGATGAACATGTTCAAGTCTGGAGACAGGGCCAGCGACATGCAGTCTCCGATGTGGTTGGTGTAGACTGTTTTCTGCTTGCCCGTCTCCAGGTCCCACAGGCAGCTAGGACAGTTAAGAAGGATGGCTTGTTGGTGCCATTTTGAATCTAATTATTAGGATTTGTGCATTTTTTAAATGTAAGCACAAATTACATGTGACACAGTAAAACCATACAAGCAGTCAGAAACAACACATTGACTGGATATATAAATAAAAGTATTATGTCTTGCCAATGGCACAGCAACATACTTAGAAATTAACATAGAAAATAAAATAATTGATATAAAGTATCATAATGTATTTTGAAATCAATATAATATTAGAGGATACATAAAATAAAATAACATTTATATGATTTACATAATAACTTTTTCTATACTGCAGAAGAAATTAAGTAAAACTGGATAAATATGGAAAGCAGAACTTGCAAGTTGCAATTATTTGCTATTAGGTACATATTTATCTCAGTTATTAGAGCTATGTCAAAGTTGAATAAAGTAAAAAAAATAAAAATAAAGTAAATTATTTAAAACCCACATCAATAGCAAATCGTTTAATTTTCAAGTATGTAAAAATGTCCATAAAAGTCAGATTGTTGTAACTGTGGATGTTTACTAAAAGGGTTTTCACTTTTACAAATCATCTAAGAGACTAATAGGGATTTACTTTTATTTTAAACATGGATCAAGTCTAAATTTATAAAGAGTTATAGAGATATGACATTAGTTTCCTATTTTTTTGTCATGTGAACCAAAATTGTCAAGTCTAAACTTCTTGCAGGCCCTGATGTTTTGTTTATTTTACTTTTTTAAAGACTAAATTATCAATCAAAATTATATTACAGCTTTTAACCTGCTCAATAACAAAGTAAAAATTCAGTATCTTAATTAAACCAAGAAAGTATTGAAATGTTTTGTAATTTGCTTCCCCATCTGTCCTGGGAAAGCTAGTGTCATCAGTCTTGATTTACAGTTATGAGCCACACAAAATCCATCCAAAACTGGCTCCTGGATGGATAAATGAGTTTTTAACTGTAAGAAACTCACCAGGTGGTGTCACCAGAAGCTGTCAGGATCTCAGAATCACTAAGGAAACGGCAGCAAGACAAGTAACCTGTGTGAGAGACACAATTTTTATTTAAAGTGGGTTACATTAAAGTTTTTAAGGTAGCAAACATGACTTGTCCTCACCTGTGTGTGCATCCAGCTCCCTGAGGGTCTTGGGGCTGGCAGCCTTAATGTTATAGACTGTGCAGATGTTATCCAGACCACCGCTGGCTACCAGGTTACCAGAAGGAGCGAAGGCAACACTCATCACCCAAGCAGACTTCAGGGGGACAGCAATCAACTGAGGAGAAAAATTTGGAATAGTTGTTTCATTCAGACAGTCACAGGTTTTAGTCAGCAGTACCACTTAATCAAACTTATTGTTTAGCTGTTTTATGTCCTATGTCTTGTCACTATGTCCTCCATTCAAACCCACAGAACAGTAAGGGGACTTCACTAACTTAACTTTCAATTACAAAGTTTATTCAAGTCAGAATTTCTGCAAGCATTATATATATATGTATATATTTGAAACAAAGCAATTAACAAACAGTCACAAGTCAACATAGTTCACACTTAATGAAATACTGGCCGTGATCCTACCTTGTTTCCAGTGAACGTGTCCCAGACTAGAAGCTTGCCATCCTGTGATGCACTGACCATTTGCCTTAGAGAGGAACACAACATCACTGTATATACAGCAGGTTTTTAGAAAAATATATATATATTGCAGTTAAGAGTTTGCACCCAGTTTTTTACCTTCTTGTGACCCAAAGATAACTAAGATAATGAGTGGATGGATGCGTTTTACCAGAGCATGTGGGATATGACTAGAGTCAAAATGTTTTGAAAATGTTTCTTTCCAGAAATAATTATTTCTCAACAATGTTCAATGTGGTGTCTGAATTTGAAAGCTCTGAAATAAGCTATAAACCTTTGCAATAACAAATGTGATATCCAGTTCAATAAAGAACCGGTGGGTTTACTGTTTAACCCACCGGTTACATTATATATATCTTTTTTTATATAAGAAGTTATAGAAGATAGTGATGCGATATAAAAAAAATAGAGCTTTAAGCTGCTAATTATGAAATAAAATCTTTTTTCCCCTTATTCTCCTTTTTAAGAGAAAATAAATGGAGATGTTTTTATTTAAGTTGATGATGCTCCATCTGAGTTACTGAAGTGAATCATAGAAATAATATTTATTCAATTGTCAAATCATGACATTTTAATAAATATATTTCCTCTGGGGGTAAACGAATAGTTTACCTCAAATCATAGTTTTGGCTATTATTTGAGCTAAACCAAGAAATCAAGCATTATTAAAAACGGGCACAATATTCAATAAAAAGTTAGAATTTCTCATCCTGTTACCTTGAATCTGCTGACCAGTGCATGGCATAGATCTTCGCCAGGTGGCCTTTGAGTGTCTTTCGGAGCTTCAGCTGGACCCGGCCCACAGGGGCCACGCCATTGGCTGCTGCTGTCATGGTGGTGTCGTTAACGGCCTTACGCGCCGCCTAGTGGACACATGAGGAAATACATATGTGTCCACTTCAAACAAGTTTGAAGAAATCTTAATGGATAAACGATGTAATGAAAGTGAGACCAGATGGAAATACCCTGATAAAGATATTGCTTCCTGTCTGAAGGTTTTAAGGAGCTTCTACAGGACGTAGTTTGTCTCATTCAGGAAATGCTCACCTCAATCTGAGCACGGAGGCCATCACACTCCTTTTTCAGTGCATCCATTTCAGCTTTCTCAGCTGCCATGATGACAGTTGCTGGAGGATGTTACTGATGGAAGATGACACAATCACTCTGTGGCAAAACGGAGTACAAGAAGGTTCAAAGTAAGGTGAGGAGGAAATTACAGACAAAAAAAATGAATTACTTCATAGAACTTGATGTATCACTCTCATTTTACTATGATAAATAATAAACTCCTTTCAGTTGACACAGCAGTAAATTACACTAACATCTTCTGACATTTCTCTGGATCAGTGAGTGACCTTGATTTATCCATCTCGAGCGGTTGGTTCCTGCTGCACCATCAAATCACAAAAATCAGATTCTACTGGTGTTATCCAAAACTGATGTTATAATCCTGACAGGTCAAATAATGGTAAGTAGGATAAAATAAGGAGGTATGAAAAAGAGGTCAAAGTAAATATTTTATAATAAGAAGAATAAAGTGAGGGGAAAATGGTCTCAACCTTTTAACTTCAGGATTCTGAGTCCTGTTTTGTTCTCGTCTGCTTTACATACTTAACATTTGAATTTACCTGCTCTTCGAAGACATTTGTAATAATCATATATATAAGGTATTCATTCAGTCACTTCTGTCCTTGTCAAACAACATATGAAGGGTTAAATGTCAAAGAAGAATCAAAAATTCCCAAAAGCCTTCCGTGCAGAAGTGTACAGTATGACTAATACTCTGTAATGGGATACTGACGTCTGACAAATTTAATGCCAAGAACCTGCTTACACCTACAGAGGCTAACGTTCAACGCTAAAATCAAACATGTTTGCAGGCTTTTTACATGATATATATCTTTTTACAGAGTATCTTGTTCACGTTTTGCCCTAGTTCTATTAAAAATTATATTTCAGAAACCCAGGAAGCACAAACACAACTTGCATACTGTATGCAACTCATAGTGAACAGAACAGCAAGAAATTATAAAGTGGCAGGAGAAATATGAACTTGTTGCGTAAGGAAAAAATCCAGAGTGTTGCCCTCCTGACTGTGTGCAAGATGTGTGAAGCATCTTGCAAAAGCATCTTGTTTAAGATGTGTGAAGCATCTTGCACACAGTAAATCATGACTATCATGGAGATGAAATGGATTGCAGGCCTGTCTGCTGCACATATGGAAGACTGAACCCGTGACAGAAAGAAGGGTAGAAGATGGGGAGACAGGAAGTGGAGTAGTTTCGTTGTTGAGGGGGTTTCTGAGGTGAGTTTGCTGCAGGGGTTTAAAATCCAGGAGATCTCAGAGGAGGCTTTATGGCCAAATCTCTTCTCATCCGATTACTACTCTTTACTTCAGGATCAGGGAACGAGCGAGGTGATGTGGAAGATGATGGAGAAAGAAATTGTTCTTTTGGAGTCAAAAGCATAACCAACACACACAGGGAGAGTGTTTTAGATCCAGCACATAAAATATCTAATGTAAATTAAACTCTTCAAGGTTGAAAACACATCATATAACCATAAAATCTCTTCATAAGAAAAAGTCTTGCAGAAGAAATCTTAGAGGCAGGAATCGGTTTAAGGTTTGGTTACATCTTTGTCACCAGGGACTAAGAACTTCTTTGGGTCCTTGTTTTTAATTCAAACATTGACATCAAAATGATGAAAGCAGTCACAGGTAAGGTCGTAAAATGAGTTTATAGGCTATAGTTCTAGCTTGAAGCTATTGGAATGATTGCTTGGATGAAGGCAAAAACCATTAATGGCTCCTTGAGAATTGTGGATGAATTATATTCCTGGAATCAGTGAAAGAAAATTACAAAATGGAGATGCAGAAAAAGATCTATGGTTGTCACAGTTTGCCTGCATTTGCATGGTGAAGCAATGTTGTTTATCAAACTTAAAAATCTTCCTTTAACAGTCACCTGCCCAGAAACATTTAAACAGAAACTCACCTTTTCCTCTCACAGTTAGGACCTTGTCTCTTATAACCGGGCAGTCCGGCTCTGTGGTCCCTATGAGTTTAGATTCCACAGTCCCAGGTTCGCCGGCTCCTCTGATGATCTACCCAATGCAGACTGCCGATCTGGCTACACCTGCAAAAAACTCTCTCTTTCTCCTGCCCTTCCTCCACTGTGAAGAACAGATGAGGATTGGAGGGGATGAAGGAGATAAGGGATGAAGAGATAAAGCACAAAGATGGGAACAGAGAGGGAAGGAGTGAGACTGAGAGAAACAGGGGGAGGGAACGTGGCAGAGTGCAACAGGTAAACTGATTGGAAGAAAAAAAGAGGTTATGAGGTCAAATGACAAAAGCAGGTGAGGAACCAAAGGAAGGCAGGAAGTTAAGTGAAAACATAGATGGAAAACAGAGATTTGAGATTTGCAAAGAAATAAAGTAATTTATTTTTTCCCCAAACACACAGGTGATTCTGAAGTAAATATCAATAATTCAAACTTCCCTTGAATTAATGATTAACTTTTGAAGAAAACAATAGAAATGGTTGAATGGGAATCATTGAATTAACTCTGAGATGTTTTAACCATCAAATTGGTGCAGTCACTTGTGTTTTTTTGTCGTAGGCCATGTTTTCTATAACTACGGGAGTTGATGGGTCGGTTAGTTAGGAGCGGAGGTTGACAAGGGGCGAATTGGTTTGGCAGAGCTAATGAGCTGAGCCTGGTTAATCAGGGTTTTATGAGATATCCGGGGATGGGCAATCTCGTTAGGGAATTAGAGCGGGTCGGGCGAAACGTGCGTCACTCTTGACTTGCAAAGGTAGGGACAAAAAGTGGATCAAGAGTCAACTGTGGCATTGTGCCTTTTTCAGAAAATTGATCTTTGCAACTGAAGAAATGCACTGCAAGACAAAAAGATATGCTCTCAGAATCTGTCCAAAGTCATCAGGTCTTCATGAAAGTCTTCATTGCGCCTATAAGCACTCCAAGACCAGATGGCACCTGGAGAATGTAAAGGCCAACAGGAGACCAGGCGACGAGGGGGTGAGCCATGTTCCGATGTGAAGTGGAGAAGGTTTTGGTTTGATCTTGTTTGGTCTACCCCTCTGGCATCTCGTAATCTGACTTGCAACGTCAGGAGGATTTGCACTCTTTCTTCCAGGAAATCTGGGTGGGCAAATTTAGAGGAGGTGGAGCAACTACTGGTAATTAGATCACCTCTTTTCATTAAAGTGGAAGGATGGAGGTAAGGATTGGGAGCCCAATGCATGCTTGAATTCTTGAATTTTCACATAAAATATAATTCTATTCCAATGGCTTCAATTCCATGTAAAAGTGCATATTCTGACTGAATATTTTAGAAATATCAACCTAAAAAGAGAATGAAAAAAAGCACATATTCTGGGAGCTAAATCTATGAACATGTTAAAATCACTTCATACTCATTGGACCAATTAAGCTCTAAATAAAACAATTCTCTTTGGACCTCTAAAATTTTATCACAATATTAATTTACATCACACATTTTGGGAAGTGCAATGCTGCACTTTTAGTTGAAGATTTTCTACAAGCCTCAATAATAAAAAAGAGGAAGATCTAAAACTCTCAACTGACCCAATTATGTGTGAGTGGGAATGGATGTGGTTTGGTCTATAGCTTTCTTCAACCCCAGAAGAAAAGGAAAAAGCCCAATGACGATGCGGGTTGATGCTGGTAAGAGAGAGCGATTATCCACAGAAATATGAGTTTGGTGTTAACTGAAAGGCCATCATCATCCAAAAGCAACAACAAAAATGTGAAATATCGAATCAGCTTCTCAAGGAATCACAAGACAGAACATCTATGCTTTGCAGTAACTATAACAAACGCCCTATTCACTTACAATTTTGGTAATTATTTCTTTTAATAAAGAGCATAATATGTTAGCCTATGTCATGTTCTCAGGTAGTGTAGCTAAATGATTATGCTTTTTATTTATTTATTTTTACAAAATCTGCAAGTCTGGCACTAATCACACATTAGTATGGCTAGTGAAACTGGTTGAAAGACACGATTTATCACGACTATTTTATAATAAAGCAAAAAGACATGTCTGAGTTTTGTATTTACTCTGGTTGTCTTTATTTGTTGACTTTATGTTATAAATACCAGAACACTTGCAAATGAAGTGTGGACATCATCAGTTAAGACTAATTTTGTTCTCTTGAAAGTGTTCCAGCTGGCTCTTTGTCTGCCTAAGACGTTAAAACAATTGTGAAATGTTTATCTCTTTCCTCAGACTCACGTGATTCTGTCTAAAAATAAAACCTGCTGTAAGTCACACTAAACTCTTCCTGAATGAGTTTAGGAAGAGTTAGGAATGAGTTTAATGCAAGTTTGTCTTTAGCATTAAGTTTAATCTGATCACAAAACCTTTATCTCAGTGATGCGCTTGCTGTTCTGTGATGTGATCCTTAAAGGTTGAGTGAGTCCATAAACAGTTATTGCCTTTTTTTTCTGAGTTGAGTTTGCGATCCATCCAGAGTAAAGAAGGAAACTGGGCCATGCCTCTGTGCTTTTCAGGATCTGGAAAAGTTGACTAACACAGTATATTTTGAATATTTGACAAGTAAAACATTATTTTAATAGAGTAGAGTAATTTGTCTCTACAATTTTACATACACCTCTTTTCACTGCAAAGAAATTACACTATACTGTGTTGTATTGAGTTTATTTACTTCCAATAAACTGTAAAACACAGCAAGTGATCAAATTATTTCTAATAGGAAGGTGAGATGTGGGTCAAATGAGTGTTGTGCCCTTAATCTGTTTGGCAAGTTAACAAAGACAATAATTTTTTTGAGTGAAAGGAGATCATTGCATTTAATATCTACATTTCATGTTATTTTCATGTAAGATGAATACAATACTGTTCTTTCTTAGCTGACTTAGAGCAAAGCACTATTACTTTTAGGTTTCTTAAAGCCATTGGCAAAAATCCCTATCCCTTCTCCAAGGTCAAGATGCTGACTCTGTTTTCTTTTGTGAGTTGATTGGTTTCCTGAACAGACATAAGAAAGGACAACAGAGCGTCCAGGTTTCTTAGTGTTGAAGGAAGGAAGTGATTGCTAGACAGGTAAAAACCCATCTACTGTCAGGAGAAAATTTTCATTGAGAAAATTTTATATCAAACATCAATTTTAAAACATTTTTAAATTGTCAAATAATTTTCTCCCTTAGTTAAAGAGAAAGCATGAACAAAGCAAGCAGTAGGTGCTGTGTTAAGAGTCCTGTGGCAATGATGCATTTTGCATTACAATAAATCTGTAATGCAAAATGCATCATTGCCATTTCAGTTCTGTTTCCAGAGAATTGAAATGGAAATTTCTTGCTCTATTTGTTTCACAGTTTGAGTGAGGAGCCGCTGTGCTGCTCCATCCCACTCTCCTGCGGTAAGTCTCGAGCTGTAATCCAGGCTAATGAAGTGGGACAGAAGAGGGCTATCTTACTTCCTGGTACCTCTCAGTTGTAACGAGCTCAGGAGTAAAACCCTGCACTCTAACTCTCTCCCCTTTTGGCCTCTTCATTCAGAGAAGCTCTTAGTCCACTTTGAGAACACAGAGAGGGGACAGAGTCACACGGAAAACTGGATGTTGGTCTCACAGAGGGATGTAGATTTGTTTTGTGTTAGCAATAGGCAAGTGGGACTTTAAAGAAATGAAATGGCATATCACCTGTTGTCTTCTGCAGATTACACCCTGGAAAGGTCATCAATCCATCACAACCCAGAGAAACACAAAGGGCAAACAACAAACTCAAACTTAAAGACCAACTAACCTAACAGGTTTGTTTTTGGACAGTGGGAGGAAGCCTGTGGATTCAAACTGCACACAGAAACATCCGGGCTAGGATTTGAACCCCAGGATCTTCTTACTACAGTACCAGTGGACTGTAGTTTTTTTAAATGTAAACCACAAAAAGCAAAACATAACGATGATCTCAATAAACATAATCACATAAACATGGATGATGTCTGCATGTTAACTTCTGACACGTATTGTTCTTAACCATGATCAAAATCAGAACCACTCAGCTTTATTGTGTACATAACCAAGGAATTTTCTAACTTGTTCTCACTGTGCAGACATTTTAAATATAAATATATTAATCTGAAAATAATCAGATTAATGTCCCTCTTTTTTAAAACCAAAAACAAAGGGCCAGTGGTATTGTTAATGAATGACTGTCCTCTGCAGTGAATAAAATCTGTAAATGAATTGATCAAAAATGCACCCAGTTTATTAGTTGGGTCTTGTGACGTCTTGGCAAATTTACAAAGGTAATTGTTGTCAGTCTGCACTGCCACCTGCTGGGAGTGAAATTGAGCCCCTTGGTCAATATGTATGGTGGTGTTACTTTGGAATAACTACATTTTCTGTCATACTTAAAACAAAAACAGAACCAGAGATAAACAAACAACAATCAATCGAATTTTATTTGTATAGCACATTTCAGCAGCAAGGCATTTCAGAGTGTGTTACATCATAAACACACAAAAAAGTCATGTAACATAGAATAAACAATACATTGTTACATACATTTCAAATACAATTCTAAACAGGTGCGTTTTTAGCTGAGATTTAAAGGAAGTCAGGGTTTCCGCTGTTTTACAGTTTTCTGGAAGTTTGTTCCAAATTTTTGGTGCATAGTTGCTGAAAGCCGCTTCTCGCCTTTTGGTTCTGGTTCTGGGAATGCAGAGCAGACCAGAACCAGAAGACCTGAGAGTCTGGAAGTTTGATACAACAACAGCAGATCTTTGATGTATTGTGGTACTAAACCGTTCAGTGATTTGTAAACTAACAACAGTATTTTAAAGTCTATTCTTTGAGCACTAGGTTTAATGGCAGACTTAAAATTGTAGCACAGAATTAGTTTATTTTTGTTAATCTGTTAAATTGCTGAAACAACAACAACATGTCAAATACAGTTATTCTGAAAAACTTAGGAAATTCACAAGATCCCTTTTACACATGTCTTAATAATGTGAGTGATTTAATAGTGATTAAATAGTGGATTAATTTATTCCTGCAAAATCTGCGGCTGATTCTTTCAAACGATCAGAAATGTTGGCATCTTAAAGTGCTTTCTAATCAAATACAAATGTGAAATTACATTTAATAAAATCCCACACAACCACAAGTATTCTGTATTCCAGTAAAACATATCCAATACCTTTCATAGTAAAAGATAACATCAAAACAGAACTATTAGTCAACATGAAATTCTAAGCTTTAAGTAGATTAATTAGCAATATTACCTTCTGTCTGTGATTTAAAGGCACTGCATTAAATTTGAGATTTGAAAAGCTCAATTTTTAAAGCTCTATTTAAAGTTTTGGAAAGCTCTATGTCAAGGTTTATATAAACATATGCAAACGACACTCCAAAAGTATATCTTTAACAAGCCTCACTGTGGTTTAAATCATAATTTAATTAATATAACCTGAAAGCCGACCTCTTTGTAAAATAAAATGACCAGCTGGCTGAAGGTCTTGCTTTAGCCAGTCTTGTTGGTAACATCTTATTATTGTGTGGTACCGCCCATCTCCTTCTCGCAAATGTAGGGCAACGGCATGGTGCAGGGGGCATCGTACCAGCTTTTCGTCGCCACACGTTCCAACACCTGCGTCTTGACGATGTAACCGCAGTCCTCATTTATGTGGTTATTGGGCTCGTTTTCCTCCCAGAAACTTTTGTGAAGAGAGAAAAAGATAAAGCAATATTAAAGATTAGTCACTTATACTTAACATGTACAAGCAACTAATGAGAAGAAACTTGTTTATTTTTCCAAAACAAAAATCTGGTATGCTGTGTGTTTGTATTCTGCCACCGTATCATGGAACCCAAATGTTCGGTGAAGGTTTCAGAGATTTGCTAAAGAACGCCGGCATCATAACAATCAAAGAAAAAACACAAAGGGGGTTCGGTAAAGGATCTTTCACACTTAAATTAAACAGCACTCTAAGGTGTGAAGATTTTCCTGAGCACTAATGGATGGTGCTAAAGGGAAGACAATCCATTGATAAGATGGAGGTAAATGGAATGGCCAAGTCAAAGTCTAGACCATTAAGATAATTTGATGTTCCAAGGCACTTCTTGTGGTTGAACTATATTGCTAAGAAGACTGTGCACAGCAGGTGCAGGGTACTCTAAAACACTAATGCGGACATATACAAATAAATATGAAATAAAAAAAAAAATATGCACAATTTTTTGTCAATTGGCAACTACCATTACTTTGTGTTGCATTTGTGTCACGTGAACCTCATAAAATATATACATAAAAGGCACTAGCTGTAGTGCGAGAAAATGTAAAAAAAAGTTTTAAAAAAAGTGTTCATTTGTTTGCAAGGCAAACCAAATAATAATGATGACTAAAATCATAAAATTTCTGTTTTGTAGGGTGACCAATAAACAAAATGGCACAAATTGAAGTGATTTCAACATGGACATTTGTTCACTTAGAAGTTAGGAAATAAAAAGTTGCAATCAGCATAAAAAAATGACAGCTGGGCAATAACACAAGTTTGTGACTTTTAAAATGAGGAACGAAAATCAGGAGTCTCTTATAAAATATGCCAAGTAGACATTTGGTGTAAAAGAACCAGAGATAAAATGGAAGTTCACAATATTTGACTCACAAAGCAGAAGTGGAAAAGATGAACCTGTAAAATAAATATTTTTTAACACTGGAAAAAATATATATTTAGATTTCAAGAAATGGAAGACGATAATGAAAAGGAGGATTTTAGAGAAAACATGCAACTGTGTAAAAACTTACTTATTTGATTATATTTGTATGTTTTTTATGACTGCTATACCCTTGCAGTGATTGAACTGCTAAGGTACATTTACTGTACCCTAGCAGTATACAGTGATTGTTCTTATCAGTTCACGCCATAGTGGTTGTTCTTATCAGTTCACGCCATAGTGGTCCAAAAGTAAACAGCAACCTACTCAGTCTGTTGGGTTGCTGTTTAAGTTCAAGTAAAACTGGATAATTCACAATTTATACCCCAGAAAAACAGAAAAATTAGACCAATTTTGATGACATGATCAACTTACAAAGTATAATATTTGGAAAATCGTTCAAATGCATTCATTTCTTAGGAATATTTATGGATGGCATTAATTCTGCTTCATCAAAGAAGGTTTTTGTAAATCTCTAAGGGTGTTAATAATTGTGGAAGATGCTGAAGAAATGAATCTTTGTAATAAATAAAATAGGTGATACAAGCTAAAAATAAGAGGAAAAAGTAGCCAGGCTGTGAATCAAAGACAAAAGATAAAGAAATTCATCCATTCAGAAGGAATGAATGTGTGATTTTTGTTTAATAAATCAAGAGTAGTTAATTCACTGATAAAATATTTCCTGAAATTTTTCAGTGTGGCAAATGTAACAGGCAAAGCAAAGGCAAAGGTCCACTGGACCCGCAGTTTGTTTGCAAACGTCTGCCCCAGTTAAGCTGGAGTGAATGTCAATCAAAGCTGAAATAGATGGAAGCCTTTTGTTTCGGTTATTTATTATAACGTTGTTTTAAAAAGGTTAAAATAATACAATGTATTCTGCACTGTTTGATGATAGAAAATGGATTGTATCAATACATGTCATATATTTTGACTCCAAATGTAGTAACATTAATACATTTTTAAAAATATCTTTCTTTTGCTAGATTGACTCAAACTTGCAGCTTCATAAAAACCAAATGTGACTGAAGTTTAGTGATGTTTGGTCTCTCGCTCAATTTAAGCGCATGGTTTATGTGTAAGTTTTAAAACTTAGTATTAATTTAAGTGACAATATTTTGTAGTATGTTGATGAGAAGTCTGTACCCTCCAACTAGCGGCGTGTCGTCGACCCATTTCCACTCATCCTCTGTCTCTCCGTCTGTGATTCCAAACCAGTATGAGTTCCAGTGTCCTCTGGGAAGGAGATCCCACAAAAAGGTCTGACGGATAAACAAATTTATTCACATAAATTGCAACACAAAAGCTCAAAATTGTGTGTGAAATTTGATTATTGTTAAAAAACCTATGCTTACAATAGAAATAAACAAAAGCCATTAGCTTTGCCCTTCAGGAAACGGCTGGGCAGAAAAAGAATTAGAGGCAGGAACAATGTTGAGTTTTATTGAAGACTGTAATAGAGTCAAATATGTCCATTTTATAAGAGAGTTTTAGGACATTGCAACACTCTTTGCAACGTTAACTTCATTTTTCGGTAGAATTTGACAGTTTTTGCACGAAATATTGTTTGGACAAAAACTGTCCCTGTCAAAGGTAAGTACTGCAGAGCAAATAAATCTGATATTTGAGTGAATTTTTAAAGGATTTTGGGAGGCAGTAGAAGCAAATCACTTTATGTTCTCAACTATAAAATAAACTCTGTCAGACATTATCAAATGAAAAGATCACAGATGCTGTACTAACTATCATACTTTACCTGCTCTTCAGCTGTTAGGATAATGGCCAGATGACCTCCTTGTCTCTGACAGTATGTTTGGCTGTCAGCCCAACTTTTGCGATCTTTAGAAATGAGGTAACAGCTGTCGGTGAAGAGATGCCAGTTCGTAGGACACACAATGGGAGCTCTGCTCGGTTTAGCTGTGGTTGCAGTGGCTGGAAACCAACAGCACATGTCATACATCAGATGCATAAGAAAACATGAAAATTCAATCATCAGGCTGAGTTGACTTTGAATTCCCTGCAGCCTTGTATTGTAAGTGTTTGGTTTTATGCTTTGAGTTGTTTATTGTTCTCAAGTGAGATGCTAAAATAATCATCTTTCATTTAGTTGCATATTAATTATGCACTCTAATGGTTGACCAAATATAATGATCACAGGATGTGCATGTTCTCTAAGAAACAATTTGACCCTCTTAATGTTTCAGATCTGATATTTATTAACATGGTATAACTGAGAGTGATGTAATTGTTCAGTGATGCCTTATAGTTTAACACCCAGTGTAGTAATTAGACTCAGGTAAGAAACACAGTATCTAAAATATGAACTAATGGATGGATGGATGGATGATAATGGATGGATGGATGGATGATAACTCGACATAATGCTGTGTTTATTAACTCTATGAGAACATTATGCACCATTTTACGGAGAACTGTACCTTTGGATGTCAGTATTGAGGTAAGGTTCAGCTGCAGCTCTTCCTTTTCTTTCTGCAGTTGTTTATTGTCCTGCTGGAGTTTTGTGATTGTCTCCATCAATGCTGAAACATTTGCCTTCTCCTTCTGCATCTCTGCAGTTGCTTCAGCACCAGGCGGGGGTTTGTTCTTATCTGCAAACAACATTAGAGCAGGAAACGTTTGTTAAGCTTTTCTGAATCTGATTGGATAAATGTTGCTAATTTAGATGTAACTGGTAGTTTCTGCAACATATAGGCCTCTAAGGAACAGATCCAAGTTTGCTAATAAACTGGAGAAGCAAGCCAAGAATGTGGATTGTACTTTTTTCCAGAATGTGAAGACAGACATGCACTATATTCACATTTAACTAGAACATATGATTTAAAAATTAAAAATCTAATATCTTGTTGTCAAGTTGGCTTCGAAAGGATAAAACATATGAATCATAATAAGAGACCTGAGCAGAATTTTGATTCCTGAAGTATGCCTAAGCTTAACTCGTCAAGGTCTAATATACTGAAGATGGCATTTGACTTGAACTTTGTATAAGGTAAGCATATGAAGAGAAAACATTGAAGTATACAAATTTAGACAAATTTATTGTTACTGGTGTCTGACAGAAGCAAATTACTAAATAATCTAAATTGCTTTAGATATGAACCAGAACGAGTGAAGGAAATGTTAGTCATCTCTGACTGCTGTATACTCACAGTGAGCAGTGACAGCTATGATTGAGATCAGGAGGATAGCACAGAGTGTCGCCAGGCAGATGGTGGCAAAGCGGAAGGGACCCGGACCACTCCGCCTGAGGTCTCTGACTGGGTAATCTGGAGGAGAAACAGATTCCTCTGTAAATGAAAATGAAGGTATCTGACAAATATTAAAGGGAGTTGTTAAAGAGGATCAGTTACGTAAAATACAGTTTTTGCACATTTTTATACCTCCATTTTGACATCAAATGCTTTTAAAAACATCCCAAACGCTTAAAAACTGCCAACCAGCAGATTTTTGGCAATTAGTTAATGATTTTTGGTGTCAGGCCATCTCCAATACTGCAGCTTTTTGTGGATTTTCCCAGTTTGCAGCCATCAGTATCTATTAAAAATAGCTCTAGGAGGAGCCAGTGGTGCACAGGTTCACAGATGCATGCAGGGAACGGAAGCTGGCCCTTTTCGAGTTACTGTGTCGGTATTGAAAGGTCCCAGAATGCAGAAAACACTTCAAGTTGTTGGACAAAGCAAACCAATCAGGGTGGAAAGTACAACAAATAAACTCAAGTTCCAAATACTTTAGATACCTATCCAGGAGGTGTGTAGGAAAAAAAAACTGTTAAATCCAAAACGACTTTATTGCTTACATGACATTAAGCATCTGCAGCTGAAATCTTACTGACAAATAACACAAAACTTAAAAATATAAATGAAGAATATGTACAAAGAAATATTGAAACTAAAGTGAACTTGTGCAAATTCCCATAAGGAGTCTTTGCTGAACCTGTTTTAGGAACTGTAGCATGTGCACACATGTCTATCTGTGTGCTTTAAGTCACAATGGTATGAATCATATCTGAATGAAGCAGGCCTGGCAGAAAGGCGGCCGTTGGGGAGCGTTGCTTGCCCACAGAGTAAAGCTGTGGCATACAGATGATGTAGAAAAATTATGTCTAACTGAGGCCAATATATTATGTTAGGCTTGTCAACAAGAACAGGCTATTAATTTTGCTGTTATCTTTGTTCAAAAGTGGATAGTACTGTATTGGTTACATTTACTTGAGTAACTTTTACTTATAGGAGTCATTTTACTGCATTATAGTTTTTCTTTTAATTGAGTAATATTATATATATACTCTCTCTCTCTCTCTCTCTCTATATATATATATATATATATATATATTTTATATATATAATATTACTCAATTAAAAGAAAAACTATAATAATATATATATATATATATATATATATATATATATATATATATATATATATATATATATATATATAATTGCTACTCTTGAGTAGATTGATTTTGCATTTAAAGAAATAGACTATTTTGCATTTAAAGAAATAGACTTCAGGGATTGGAAACATTACATTCTTAGATTTCTATAATGTATGTGGTAATGTTTATGCACATTTTCAGCATAATAACTCAACATTTTATACACGTTACTGTTTATATCCTTGTTTAATTTGCACTAGTAAGCATGGTTATTTTATTTGAACAGTCACAGAAAGCTTTGCTTATGTATTTATCGTTTTTGCTGACCCCCCTGCTAAAGTCCTCAGGAGCCGGGCCTGGAATGAACAAACAAACAAATATAATTCCTCACAGCTGAAGTGTGACAATATGCATCTAGCAAACTTTTATATTAAGTTTAATATAAAAGTTATTATATTTACTCTGTAAATATAATAACTTGTGAGTTTTAGTAAGTAGATATTTTGCTTTTTTTTGTAAATAGTAGTAGTCTCACAAATCCATTTACAGCTCTGACAGGAGCTCAAAGCTTGGACATCTGCTTAAAATCACTGTGCTTCTTGTAGGCAGTCTGTTTTCATCTGGAACTCTGTATAATGTGCTCACAAAAACATTACATAAGTAGCCTTGGTTCTTCAGCATGAAAAATGTCAACCCCATAACACAGAGCAGAGTTTATGGTTGGAATTCTCCTTTCTTGGAATAAAAGAAAGTGGGAAGTATATTTCTGATAGTAGGGGTGTATTCAGAAAACTATTGTGAAAAAACTGCACTCTCAAAATTGTATTAGAATATTGTACACAAACTTTTTGAAAACTAAGCTGCTGTTCCTCCATGATCAACCTTTCAGACCTCTCAGGTCTTCTGGTTCTACTCCAGTCCGGATCCCCAGAACCAGAACGAAACATGGAGAAGCAGCATTTAGTTTCTATGTGCTGCAAATCTGGAACAAACTTCCCTAAAACTAAGAAAAAAAAACCAAACAATCAAAACATTGAGTTCCTCAAAATCAAGGCTAAATTCCTACCTATTGAGTTGCTTTTCATTAATAACTGGAACACTGATCAACATATTTGATGATGATGATTTTGATGATGGCATTTGACAAAACTCTAAGTCTTATTTCTTGTTTCATAACTGAAGTATGTTGTAATGTTGAAGCACTTTGAACTGGCTTGTTGCTGAAATCTGCAGTACAAATAAACTTGACTTCAATTAAAGCTGCAGATTTACCATATTAACACAAACAGGACCCAACAAATATAAAGAATGTCAAATAATATGGTAAATATATAATAAAGAATAAAAAGTAACAGTACAATAATGAAGTGATGATGCAAATTTAAACTGCAGTCGGAAAACAAACACTACACTTTTCCTGTATGTGGAAAAACAAAGTCGCTGTAAAGGAACATTTATGAAACTTTGAAGACATTCATTTTAGCATCGCAGTTTAGATCATTAGATTTATGCTCATGTTAAATACGATTAGCTACATTCACTATTTCAAACATAAACACTAAAATGTACAATAAAGTTTTACATAACTTTATACTGACACTATTTTTACTCGCATGAAACTTAAACTTTGGGTGTACAAAAGAATCCCGATTTAAACAAAAGTGGGTGTAATTTGTGCTTCTTCTCTAGGCAGTAAACAACATGATTCTGAAAAAAAAAAATCTTTTGACCATGTTACGCAACATTTGCAAAATAAACACTGAAAACAGGGACAATTAGAAACAGATGAAACTGTAAGAAAAGTGGAGTTTTGAGGTCCAGTATTAACGTCTGTTTGCATGAACTTTTCTTGTTAAGGAATAAAACGGGGATCCGCATCAATGGATCCGCAGCTGGATCAAACTTTAACGCTTTGCTCTCTGCTTACCGCTCTGATGCACATCTGGTCTGGACTCATAACTCCCCTCGTCTATCAGGTGGGAGTACATCCGGTCCGAGGCCGCAGAGCTGCCGGTGGCCGCCATCTCCACAACACAACAACTGTCTCTGACCGGGAGTGAGAGGAAACTTTTCCATGTTCTCCACTTATGAACAAACGCCGCTTTCAAACACGCATCACTGAGTGAAATTAATTAGACGTTCCGGACGGAGCTTTCAAAATAAAAGCCCTGGTAAAAGGTGGGAATAATTAGGTCCAACACTTACGGGCAAAGGCGACTCATGACAAATAAACAAAAAATACATAAATGAACATGTATTTATGGATGGGCTATTTTGAGATTTAAAAAAAGCGACGAGATGAGAAGACATATCAAATAAAGTTAACTCTGCAACTTTCACAGAAAAAAGACGCAAAGTGCTGAAAGAATGATTTGCGTTATACTTTATGGCACAAAAATTGTAATGCGATATACCTGATACCTTGGGCATATTTAAGAAACATCTTTGACATAAATTAATTTAAGTGAACTCTGAATTGCTCCTTAAAGTTAATAGACAGGGACATCTGGTGGACGGAGAACATCACTGCAGTAGTTCGTGGCAATAATTTTAGTGAAATTACCATCATCCATCCATCCATCCATCCATCCATCCATCCATCCATCCATCCATCCATCCATCATCCATCCATCCATCCATCCATCCATCCATCCATCCATCCATCCATCCATCCATCCATCCATCCATCCATCCATCCATCCATCCTCCATAAAATTTTTAAATGTCTACATTTTAGACATTTTAGAAATGTCTAAAATGTATTGTGCATAAAGCCCTAAAGGCAACACAATAAAAAAAAAGCTCAGTCCAACATCTTACAATGAACTGGCCTAACAAATAAAAACAAAACAAGCTTGAGACAGATTACATGTAGAAGCTGCACATCATATTTTCAGTTTATCGACAAAAGTTCATGGACGCTAATGCCTATAAAAGCAACATTTTTCTAAATATGTGGATGATGGGTTTAGTATTCCACACTTCACAATTAATGGCATTTTCATAAAAGTTAAAGTATTATTAGTACAGAAATGTATGCTTTGTTTTAAGTATTTCACAACTTATATTCATCCAAAGGTTTTTGTTAAGAAAGTCCTAAATTCCTTAACACCAACCAATGGATTGGATGGTGGACAACCAATCCATTGTACTTGCTTGTCTGTACACAGAGATTCTGCAACATGAAGAAAAATGCACATCACATGTTCACCTAGGTTTGACAGATTTACCTTTCAATATTTAATCTAATTTTTTTTCATAATTGTGGAGAGCAGCATAACATCATTTGATACTGTTATTATTTATGGATGAAATACACATAATCCATGTTAAATACAAATAAAAACTAAAATCAATTTAATTCTGTATGAATTAATGCAGTGACATTTTTTTCACTTTTGTTTTTTGTCAAATTAACCCATAAACACAGAAAAATCTTAAAGCTTTACTTATTCTGTAGTACTTTGTTGTGTGTGTGTGTGTGTGTGTGTGTGTGCTCAGTGACTTTCTATTGCAAAAGACAGTTTATTTTAGAAGGAAGTTTTTGTATGAAGAGTTTTGACTGTGTGTGTGGCCCTGGTCTATTACCCTCATGAACACAGTGACAGATGTAAACTGCTGCATCTTCAGCCCTGACCCCGCTGATGGTCAGAGTGAAGTCAGAACTGGACCCACTACCTCTGTAGCGACTGGGTCTCCCATCTGCTGGTGTATTGGCATCATACAGGAGAAGTTTAGGGAATTTTCCTTCTTTTTGTTGGTACCAAGCCACATAATACTTGCTATTCCAAGAGTACACCCTCTGATTAGTCCTACAGTTGATTGTGATGGATTCTCCAACAGCAGAGTGCACTGTTCCAGGCTGAGTCACAGTGACCCGACCTCTGACCTCTGAGGACACAGACACAAAAACATCCATCAGCTTCATGGTTCAGTCGTCTTCATTTCAGAGGGACAGATGTTCATAGAGGAGTTGGATTCTCTGGACTTTACCTGTGAAGCAGCAGCAGAGGAGAGTCCAGATGAGGACGCAGATGAAAGTCATGTTTTAGATGAGGAGAATTTCTGTGTCTTCAGTTGTGATGAAGGACAGCTGTCAGTCATCCAGTGTTCAACTGTCAGGACTATAAACTCTCCCAGAGCACTGGAGCATGGAGCTGCTGATGCAAAGTGACCTTTTATGGAAATGTTCTGACTATGACAATTTCTGCAATGATTATATTCGCCAATGGATTTGTAATGGATGATCAGTCTTAAAAGTCATCTTTCCATTAAATGTTTTCTCCTGAATATGGTTTATAAATTTTTATTTTCACATTGTGTCTTCCATACAACAATCCATTGTACTTGCTTGTCTGTACACAGAGATCTGGTTATTTGAATGAACAAAACTTGTTTATTTAAATTAAGAAAACTTGTGATAAAATTGAGCTTTTTTCATATATGTTTAATTTTTCAAACGCTATGTTTAATGTGTTAAAGTGAACTGATTGCTTTCATGCTTGAAATTCTTCAAGTACAGTCTGTAATTTCTGTATATCTTCATATGAATTTAATATTATTTATGGTTACTTTTGTACGTATTTATTTTAATTTATAGATATTATCTCTAAATTAGAATTCAAAATATATAATTCAAAATATATAAACATATAAAATAGTGGGATCTACCATAACTTAAAATATTTATATTTTGATCAGAAAACTGTTACCAGGGAACAGCAGTCATCCTTGACCGTTGCCATGGTTGTTTTGCTAAAGACAGGAAACAAAAAACGGAAAAAACATTTCTATTCAAACTTCCACTTTCCTGAAGATGAATTTGGTCTTCACTGATGTAAACACTACTGTAACTTCCACTGAGTCCAAATCAACAGCAGAAAAGTTGCTTATGCTTATTTTTATTAGTGGTTAAATAACATCATATTGTTTTTTTGCAACTTACAAAATGTATTAACACTCAACTTTTGATATAGATTGTGAACATGTAAATGTTTCTGCATGTGTAGATGTAAGAAGCTTGTTTTAAATGAATTCATAATTGTTTACATTTTAAATTAATCTTAACAAAATGATGAATGCTCACAGACTGCACTCTTCATATTTCAACTATTCTAAATTTAATTTAATTTTTTCAAGTGGTCTTGTTTCACAGCTTTCAGAAGGTTTTGAACGTGTTTTTAGTCCAGTCTTTGCTCCAGACTCAAACAACAATAACAAGAGGAAGTGAGAAGGACGTGTTTCAGGCCTACAGAAGATATCTTTGGAAGCAGAATAATCCTAAATGATCTTATTTTAAAGATTAGGATTTTATTTCGTCACCTTCCTGAAAACAATGGCCTAAGTCACTTTTTGCCCAAATTTATTTATTTATTTCACCCCAAAGATGGCCATTAATTTACGAAGATGATGATTTGAAACATCTGCTGATATTTCATCCTTTTATCATTGAGACTAATCAAAATAAATCCTCTTATGGAATCAGTGTGTTTCAGATAAAATACTTTTCTTTTCTGTCAAACGGTGCTCTCCTTAGTTTCAGCTAAAGAACTTAAAACAAAATGTGTCTTTAAAAGTTTTGACCTGGCTCTTGGATAAACTTAAAAATGTCTACACTAGAGTCGCGATGATTACAAGTGATCAGGAAAGATAAACAGCCAAACTGAATGAAAAAGAAAAATTTAACTTTCAAAAAAACTAAAGAACAAAATTACCTTTAAATAAATCTACAAGAAATTTCCCTAAAGGTTGACTGGATTTCTGAAAATAGTTTTTCTTTTTGGCATTTTCTCAATAATACTGAATATATTAATCAATAAGAAATTGCCAAACACATCCACAGGATAAATGTTTGAAACATTGTTTCAGTGTTTGTTCTGAACGAAATGTTGTGTTTCTCTCTCAGTCAAAGGTTTTTGTTTGATGCTGTGGTGAGTTTGTATCACTGTGCCACACGTTTGGAGCAGGAACCAGACTTGAAGTTAACGGTAAGTTCATTTGATTCCTTAAATAGCAAAAATGTTCAGGATTTGTATATAATTGTTTCAAGGAGGAAGTAATTCTTATCCTCTTCTTCAACACATTTGGATCTTTAGTTCAACCTTTGATTTGTTTGGAAATAATAACAAATGTTAAAGAGTTAAGCATTCTAAAGGCTTAAATATGTTTCAGTACAAGGTGTTTACTGTCAAATCAACCTCTACTTTTCATACTTGTATTGAACATATATCAGTGATAGTGTTTCCCCATGTTGATGTATTTTTATTCACATAAAAGTCAAACCCAGTGGTCAACATAGAATAAGAAAAAAAATAAAAATAAAGCTGAAGGCTTGAAGCCTCTGCTGTTTTAGACAAGCAATTACTCAGGTTGGAAAAGTTTATCGCAATCAAAATGTACTTGTAAACATTATGAGTGTACCTTTCAAAAGTATCACTAAAGTTTCATTGCCATCAGAATGACTTATAAATATCTTCTGTTAGTGTTCACAGATATGCTGAATTTCCAGAGGTATTTTGGTAAAATCACATCAGACTGTTGTGTTGTTGGCTATTTTTGTGGGTGTAAGTTCTCTAAATTATCTCAGCACTCTATGTGAAGATGCTTTAAATTCATTTTGCTAAAATGATTTGTTCATAAGAGTAATTTCAGTATTTCTGCAATAATACTAATGAAACAGGTTGGCCTACTGGATGACAGTGTTGTAATTAATCTGATGGTTGATGCAAAATTTATAAAAGTTTTACATTGTGGATTAATAGTTGACTAAAATAACAAAAAAAAAGTGTGATCTTAAAACCAGCTGCTGTATTTTTAGCTCTGAAACCTGCCTGCTTCCACGCTTCAGCAGTCATGTCTGCATGTTAGAAGGAAGTGAAAAACTGTAGGTCGTCTTTTCGTTGACTAAGCCGGCTTCTCCTACCAGGTGTGGAGAGAGGCAAATTATATTAAACAGCAGTTCCAGCTAATTTGTTTTGCTTTTCTCTAGTGGGTCAAGTGCCTCCGTCACTGATGGTTGTACCTCCACCCAGTGTGGAGCTGCAGCAGCAGCAGGTTACCCTCCTGTGTCTGGCCAACAAGGGCTTCCCCTCAGACTGGACTCTGTCCTGGAAGCTGGACGGCAGCAGCAGCAGCAGCTGGGAGCAGAGCAGGAGCCCCGGGGTGCTGCAGAATGACGGCCTCTACAGCTGGAGCAGCACCCTGAGGATCCCTGCAGACCAGTGGAGGAAGGTGGGCTCTGTGACCTGTGAGGCCTCCCAGAGCTCCCAGCCTGCAGTCACAGAGACACTGAGGAGAGACCAGTGTTCCCAGTACTGAACTGACATGCCAGAAGATGGGAACTGCTGCTCTTTTACTGCTCTCTGTTCTTTCTATCTTCAAAAGCTTCTTTTCATTTGGAGCCTTTTTGCTTTTTGTTGCAATCCTTAAATCAATAAAACTGATCAACACATCAATGCGTTTCGTCTGAGTTATATATTGTATTTCACTGGAGAATCTTGTGTTAATTTGACACAAAATTCTGCCATAAATGATAGCATTTCAGAGAAAGGTTGAGCAAAAATGTAAATAAAATAAATAAATAAAATAAAATATATAGGACATATATATATATATATATATATATATATATATATATATATATATATATATATATATGATCTATATATATATATATATATATATATATATATGTCCTATATATATATATATATATATATATATATATATATATATATATGTATATATATATATATATATATATATATATATATATATATATATATATGATCTATATATATATATATATATATATATATATATATATGTCCTATATATATATATATATATATATATATATATATATATGTCCTATATATATATATATATATATATATATATATATATATATATATATATATATATATATATATATATATATATATATATATATATATATATATATATATATATATATATATATATATATATATATATATATATATATATAGGACATGGTTCAGAACAACTCTGTAAATTTCAAGCCACTCCAGGGGATTTTCTTACTCCACTGTGATCCTTCCAAATTATTCTCTGCATTTTTGTTCTGTTAAAACAAAATGTGTGAGCATTTGTCTTTGCAGATACCTCTATGTGACTTGTGGTGTAAAACTGCTTAAAAGTTCCAGTTGACAGGAAAAAGAGTATAAATTGGGGGCCAAGACACCAGATAGAATGAGGCAAATATTAAATGCTTAAACAAACTAAAAATCTTTGATAAAATGCTCAGAACATGTAAATCTTAAATATTCACTGGAAGCTTCTGTCTAAACTGTCCATATCAACAAAATACTTGGTCAAACAGTTTGATTTAAACCGCAGGAGATGAAATTAATCAACACTTAATAAAACATTTTTTTTTCAATATTTGTAGGTTAATGGCTGTCAATGTCATTTTTTTTATATAGTGAATCCTAATTTTGTGTTCCCAAACTCTGGCTCAAACAAGAGTATTTTATTAATTGGGAAAGTTGCAGAAGGACATGATAGTGACAATTAAATATTAAAGGTGTGTGGGCAACAGAAAAGTCCTTGCACACTGTCCTCAGCAGTTGCATTTGCCATTTTACTCCAGAAGATGTCAGAGTTGAACAGCTTATTTATTCTTATTTATTTAAAAAAACAAACAGCAACAAAAAACTATACTTTTAGAATGCATACATTGTAAAAAAGAACTTCTCTAACTTTCCCAGAACTTTATGGGTTGATAATTTACTGTAAATTCAACTTTTATTTTTACAGTGTATTATGTTTGCTGTAGTAGTTGTATGTGTTTAAATTCTATTTTCCACTTTCCAGGAGATTCTGAATTCTTCTCAGGATATTTCAGATGTGCGAATGGGGAAGCTTGCGGCTATTTTGCACCTGACAATTGGCCATGCTCAATTTTAAAAGCTTTATAGATTTAGGACAGTTTTTAAAGTTTTTAAATGGACTAAAAACAAAATCTGTTTTTCTTTGTTACTTATATGCAGCTTTGAAATATCAGTTTAGCAGATTTAATTCCTAAATCCTTTAGGAGATTTATCTCCTAAAAGATTCTTGAGAGGGATATTTAGAGGGACTTCAATTAAAAATTTATTTTCTAATTACATATAAAATATGGGCTTTGAGTGGCACATTGAGTTTTTTCAGAAACATGGTTTACAACTTCATTATTTGAATTTTAGAAACTTGAATAATTATTTTAGATGTATTTGTGTTTATTATAATTAAATTTCCTATTCTAACTTTAAAAAATAGCAGCAATGCTAATCATGTTTAAGATGTGAGTACACAATTTAACAATTTTTGTGGTGAAAGGAGAAAAAAAATCATAGCTCCCACATAAAGTTATTCAATTTGTTTGATAGCACTTTTGTGCCCATATGGTGTCACTCTATAGCAGCTTCCAGTTATATCACTTGTGACATTTTTGGTTTTTGTACGACTGTTTTTCATTGTGTGAACACATACTGGCTATTGGGGTAATGAAGACTCTGACAGTAATAAACTGCAGCATCTTCAGCCTGAACTCCACTGATGGTCAGAGTGAAGTCAGAGTTTGATCCACTGCCTGTAAAACGACTTGGAGTCCCTGATGCTTTAGTGCTGGTAGTATAAATAAGAAGCTTAGGAGTTTGTCCATCTTTTTGTTGGTACCAGGCTAGATACGTGCTAAGAACATCCTGACTGGTTCTACATCTGATGGTGACAGATCCTCCCAGATCAGCTCTCACTGTTGCAGGCTGAGTCAGTGTGTACTGACCTCTGACCTCTGAGGAAACAGAGACAAAAATATGCAGCAGCTTCATGGTTTAGTCGGCTTCATTTCAGAGGGACAGATGTTCATAAAGGAGTTGGATTCTCTGGACTTTACCTGTGAAGCAGCAGCAGAGGAGAGTCCAGATGAGGACGGAGATCAAAGTCATGTTTTAGATGAGGAGGATTTCTGTGTCTTCAGTTGTGATGAAGGACAGCTGTCAGTCATCCAGTGTTCAACTGTCAGGACTATAAACTCTCCCAGAGCACTGGAGCATGGAGCTGCTGATGCAAAGTGGCTCTATGGAAATGCTCTAGAATCAGCATGATTTCTTTGTGAATCAACATGTTTCACAAGGAAATAGATAAGAAAGTATCCATTTTGATTTTGTAGATTTTGAATCAACTGAACTCCTAAAATTTCTCTATGTATTTCACATTTATAATTTATATAAAAAATAAAACAGGAAGGGATCTTTTCCAAAATGTGCAACATCATATGTCCTTAAATATTTTCAAAACCGCACATATTGCTAAGATATGTATTTTTTTCATTAATTATATGGCTATTCTGCCATTGGTTGGCGGTCTGTGCAGAGTGTACCCCATATCTCACCTTAAAACCTCAGGAGGCACAGGACCCTCCAACTGATCCTGTTAGGATTAGTAGCTGTGCAGATTGGAGCCCTGAATGAATTTTTTAAACAAAATCTGAATTTCTTTCAAATGTTTCTCAGATTCATGTGAAGTTTATTCTTGAAAGTTTTCATGATGTAAAACATATAAAAATACATTTTTTTGTGTCTGTCTCAGTGAATGAGAAAACTATGTTTTTGTTAATAATTTCTTGAAATATCTGTTTAAACCAAAATCAGAAATAATTTTTAGGTATTGTATGCGGGCATGTGAGTTACATAAGTAATGAAAATAAACTTTATTGAAAACCAGAGCATTTTGTGATGTGACAATTTATGAGCCATATTCTGAGTAAGAATCTGCTTCAGTGCAGCTGTGGATCAGTTCCTCTGTCGCTGAGGGAGGTTTTTGTACAACGTTGTTTCACTGTGTGAACGGAAAGCTATTATCCTGCTGACAGTAATAAACTCCTGCATCTTCAGCCTGAACTCTACTGATGGTGAGAGTGAAATCAGTTCCAGATTGACTCCCACTGAAACGTTCAGAAACTCCAGACCAGCGTGAATTGGCATTGTAAATAAGGATCTTAGGCGCTTCTCTAGGCTTTTGAATGTACCACTGTAAATCATTTGAAACACCTGAACTGGCTTTACATCTGATGGAGACAGTCTGTCCCAAAGTGACAGATTGAGCTCCTGGAGTCTGAGTCAGGATGATTTCAGCCATGGAACCTGGAAAATATACAGAAAAAAAAATCTTATTCAGTTTATTTCAGAGTTTATGTGATTCCATAATAACACAAAGTTTCCATCAGAGAGTCTCACCCTGAACCAGGAGCCCCAGGATGGTCAGCAGTGGAGTCAGTGACATCATCATTGTGCTGCTGGTGTGTCAGTAGCTCTGAAAGGCCTGGACAGCCACTGATCAACTCTGACCTCTTAACAGCTGGAGCAGAGAGGCAGGACACATATGCAAACACACAGAGTCACATGCAGCTCAGCTCTACATGTGATCCAGTTTCCAGATAAATGCTCAAAGATGTTCAACTGAAAAAAAAAACACCAATGAGCTCAAGCTAGGAGGTGCGGCTTTTCAGAAAATGTGTTTTTAGAACCCTATACAATTTGGCTGGATGACGGGATCATAAATAAGAAGGTAATTTCTGCTTAGAAGAACATGATTGCTGAGTCCTGATCAAAATTTGTGATGTGATAAAAAGTATTTTGGATTTTGTTTAAAATAAACAGTATTAACTTCAATGATTGAAGTGAGCTTTTGAAGATATATTAGTAAAGGCTACGTTTTGGATGAAAAGTCACTTTTGAAATGAAATTATAGCTGACTTATCACTCCAGGACAAAAGTATTATGTTTGGTGGCTTTATAAATGATATACTCAGCCCTGAACTAACCAAATGATCCAAATATAATACATTGTTCTATAAACAACACTAAAATAACAAATTAAAAGTTAATCATTAATACATGTAATTTACAGCAATGTCAAGTCTGAAGTTGTACCCAAAGAGAAAACTGAAATTAAAATAACGCTTAACTTATATTAGTTAGTGAATTAGTGAGCTTCATGTTTGTTTTGTTGTTGTGTTTTTAGGAGGATTATCCACGTTCAAATCACAGGATTGGAGTGCAGTGGTATATACAGTACAGACCAAAAGTTTGGACACAACCTTCTCATTTAATGGGTTTCCTGTATTTTCATGACTTTTTACAAGGCAAGAAAGCCCACTTATTAACCTGACAGGGCACACCTGTGAAGAGAAAACCATTTCAGGTGACGACCGCTTGAAGCTCATCAAGAAATTAAATTATAGCTGACTCATTGTAGATAGAAACTTTAAGTTTATTTTAAATGTCTGACTCATAAAACCAATGTATCTTCTGTGTTTGGTTAACCACCTGGAACTTCCAGATGCAACAAACATTTCAGTTTCTGTTCAGTCTGAATGTTGGAGGTTTTTGTACGACTGTTTTTCACTGTGTGAATGAAAACTTGCTGCTGATGTAGAATTCACCCATACAGTAATAAACTGCAGCATCTTCAGCCTGAACTCCACTGATGGTCAGAGTGAAGTCAGAGTTTGATCCACTGCCTGAAAAACGACTTGGAGTCCCTGATGCTTTAGTGCTGGTTCTATAAATGAGAAGCTTAGGAGTTTGTCCATCTTTCTGTTGGTACCAGGAGAAATCAATACCATCATCTACTCTGTGACTGGTTCTACATCTGATGGTAACAGATCCTCCTAGATCAGCTCTCACTGCTGCTGGCTGTTGAGTCACTATGGCCTGACCTCTGACCTCTGAGGACACAGAGACAAAAACATGCAGCAGCTTCATGGGTTAGTCGTCTTCATTTCAGAGGGACAGATGTTCATAGAGGAGTTGGATTCTCTGGACTTTACCTGTGAAGCAGCAGCAGAGGAGAGTCCAGATGAGGACGCAGATCAAAGTCATGATTTAGATGAGGAGGATTTCTGTGTCTTCAGTTGTGATGAAGGACAGCTGTCAGTCATCCAGTGTTCAACTGCCAGGACTATAAACTCTCCCAGAGCGCTGGAGCATGGAGCTGCTGATGCAAAGTGACTCTATGGAAATGCTCTGAATGAGTCCAATAGAGACTATGATCAATGTGATGCTCCTTTCCAAATTCTTAAAGCATTTTTTTTTTGAAAAAGTTAAAGTTTCTCCCACATAATGTTTATATTTTAAACATTATAGAAAATATATAAACAGAACTATATGTTTATATATTTGTTTTTCTTTCCAGTGGTTCATAATTATTTTAAATATTTTATACATCCAAAGAGAAACAAGAGATAAGCAAAGTAAAAAAGGAAACTTTAAATCTTGACTTTAAAATAACACTAACAGTAGGAATGCAGTTTTAGTCGCAATGCACTTTTCAACACCCTTTTCTTTACAGTAACACATGTTTACACATTTAGAGGTAAGGGTTTAAACAAAGGAGATTTTGGCATGTGGACATTTTCGTGGGGTCAACTTTTCTGTCATTTGAGAAACGGCCTTTTCCTTTGAATCATTGCATCAGTGTAATGCAGTCTTACACTGATGCAAAGACTGAACATCCTTTGTAACAGAGTTATGTCTTATGATGAAATAATTTAAAGATATGTGGAAAAATATATGGGAAAGTGCATGAAATTAACCTATGTTATAAAATTCAAAAACTTAGTAAAATTCTGTATTATTTTTCTTTTCTCTACTTTTTAAACAAATAAAAAGGATTTTAAAGCTGTAATTGTCTGATAAATTTTGTGATTTTAACAGCAGTAAAAACTGTTAGCACAGTTTTTTACTGCTGGAATGACTTTGAAATGACAAAAAGAAACTTTTTTCATTCCAATTTGAATGTAGCTGAGGGAGGTTTTTGTACGACGTATCACTGTGTGAATACAGAACCAGACTGACTCCCACTGAAACGATCAGAAACGCCAGGCTCACAATTTAATGTCCAATAAATCAGAAGTTTTATGGATTCTCTAGGTTTCTGAAAGTACCAGTCTATCTCATTTTTATGTATCCACCGGCTTTACGTCTGATGAAAACAGTCTGCCCTGGAACAACAGATAGAGATTCTGGAGTCAGAGATTATATTTGCTGATGACCTGGAAGAAAAGAAATATTTACAAACATCAGGCTTAAAAAATTTAATCCAAGGTCAGGGCATATATACTCATTTTTCTCAATCATTGTTATTGTGATAAATTTGATGACATCCTGAAATTACTTTTCCAGTAGAGAGTCTCACCCTGAACCAGGAGCCCCAGGATGGTCAGCAGTGGAGTCAGTGACATCATCATTGTGCTGCTGGTGTGTCAGTGGCTCTGAAAGCCTGGACAGCCACTGATCAACTCTGACCTCTTAACAGCTGGAGCAGAGAGGCAGGACACATATGCAAACACACAGAGTCACATGCAGCTCAGCTTTACAGCTCATAATGCATCATTTTCACTGCTGAAAGATGAAACATTTATGTCAATGAGAGAAATTCAAAATTATTCCTACTCTTAAAATGATTCAATTTCTAATAATGACTTAAATATATTTTCATGTAAGTAAGAACATTGTCAAAGAAAATTCTACAGAACTGCTTTAACATGTAATAAGAGAAAACAAAAAGTGAATTTTGTGGAAAAGAAAAAAAAATTACTTAGATGTTTTTTACATGCTGTGTTGACAACTGTTAATGTTATTCTAAATAATTAATGTATAAGCTTTTCTTAAAGTGACAGTCAGTAACTTTAGAAATTTCCCGTGGAGATTTTCCTCATTTTCTCTGGTAATGTGATGATTTATCTTTTTGTAATTAATCTTTAACTCCATCAGACTGTTAAAATTCAAGTGAAAACTTTTGCCTTTATTCTGAATTAAAATCTAACAGCGGTACAACAAGTGTTGAAAACAGTACAACAATATCTATGCAGGGAAAAGAGCAACTACTGCTATTTTTTCTGATTTAGTTTTATAATTATGAATCCATTTAGAGTCCTCTTTTTGTTTAACAAATAATGAACTCCAGGAGAGTTTTGTCCTGTTTCTGTTGTTACCAAGATATTTCATATCAATTATCTGACTCATAGTGTTTCATTTTAATCTTGGTTCAAGCCATGTTGTTTTTATAGAGAAAATTATACCAAACTAATATATCTGTTTAAGTAAATTCCTGTCAGAATTGTGTTAAGCACATAAATTCAATTCTCAGTGAGCAATGTTAAATGTTATCTTCCACAAACAATGTTTCTTCAGTTGTTAATCAACATTCCAAGATGTATTCTTTGTTGTTAAACCAGCCACAAATTTTAATATGCCCTATTATTCAGAATGTATGGGTGCAGAAAAAATATGTCCACTAAATCATCTTTACTGTTTGTGTGTTTTTGTTTAGTGAGCTGTGTCAGTGTCTGCTGTAGCATCCAGCTGGAGTTTCTGTTCAGACTGAGGGAGGTTTTTGTATGACTGTTTTTCACTGTGTGAACACCCACTGGCTGTTGGGGTAATGAAGACTCTGACAGTAATAAACTGCAGCATCTTCAGCCTGAACTCCACTGATGGTCAGAGTGAAGTCAGAGTTTGATCCACTGCCTGAAAAACGACTTGGAGTCCCTGATGCTGTAGTGCTAGCAAGATAAATGAGGAGCTTAGGACTTTGTCCATCTTTCTGTTGGTACCAGGCTAACCTGGTGGCCATAGCTGGTCACATAAACATTCTGACTGGTCCTGCAGATGATGTTGACAGATCCTCCAAGATCCTTTCTTACTGATGCAGGCTGCTGAGTTACTGTGACCTGACCTCTGACCTCTGAGGACACAAAGACACAAACATGCAGCAGCTTCATGGTTTAGTCGGCTTCATTTCAGAGGGACAGATGTTCATAGAGGAGTTGGATTCTCTGGACTTTACCTGTGAAGCAGCAGCAGAGGAGAGTCCAGATGAGGACGCAGATCAAAGTCATGTTTTAGATGAGGAGGATTTCTGTGTCTTCAGTTGTGATGAAGGACAGCTGTCAGTCATCCAGTGTTCAACTGTCAGGACTATAAACTCTCCCAGAGCACTGGAGCATGGAGCTGCTGATGCAAAGTGACTCTATGGAAATGCTCTTGCTGACTCCACAATAAACTGGGATCCATATGATGAAGCAGATATGATTTCTTCAAACTTTGATGAAAAGTTTATTCCACTTTCCTTCAGATTATTGTTTTTAACAACTTGTCGTTTGTAGTTTTTTGCATGAATTTCTCTTTGTTAACTGTTCATTTTTCAAAAATTTTCTGGAGTTAGTTTTTGTGGTATTTTTGTTATTTTACTTTTTGTCAGGCTTAATTTGAAGATAATTTGGT